AATGAGTGGGTGATTTGCAGTTACGATAAAGCTTTGCCTAATTCATGTTGAGGGGAACAACCTATCTCTTAACTCTGACATATTGATATGGTGATCAAGGTCAGTCTGGAAATAAACCACAGATGGTTATCTTCACTGACGCATACACCACTGGTTATATATATACATATGTAACGAGTCTGTCACCGTCTTGGATTTCATATTTAAACTCAACAGTTTCTAGAATATAATACATCCACAGTCTCTTCAAGTATTGCTATTTGTAGGAATTTTGCTTGATTGGTTGGAGGATTTCATCATCAGTTGACATCAGTAAGAGAACCATTGGAAAGCCAGCACTGGAGTACTGGACAGCTGTTTCGTCAGTCTAGTTTGGAACGCTTCATCAGTACGCAACCACCGCCAGGGTTAAAACCCAGCACCTTCTGGCTACAAGGCGAGCTTACTCGTAGACCATTAATCCACTGTGACGTGATCCAGTGGCTAGCCCATGAATTCTAACTTCTGCCAATTCATGACATAGCGCTGCCACTTCGCAATGTCTTCTTCGATGAGTTACTGTCCTCACCTTCAACCTGCTGTACCCTACTGGTCACGGTTACCCACTAGAACCCCAGGTCACTACCTGAATGAGACCAGTTGCTAGTGAGCATCAGATGAATTCTCAAGTATTGGTTTTTGTAGGAAATTAGTTTGATTGGTTGGAGGATTTCATCGAAGAAGACATTGTGAAGTCCCAAACGATGCTGACGAAACAGCTGTCCAATACTCCCAGACTTCAATTTTGTGCACTCAATTATGTAAAAAATGAGGCATATCGTCCGTCTACTTACCCATTAATTCACAGTGGGTAAAGAAAATTTTGAACTATCAGTGCATTTTTTCCGACAATCTACAGTCATTCGCTTAAGTTCGGTCACCTCAGTTAACTTTCTAACTAAGTAGCTTAGCCAGTATTAAGCCCGTTAAAGAGGGATGATTAGGCGTGAGGCTAGCAATCCTATCCCGTAAAACAACAATAGTGTCACTGAAACTTCGAAGGTCTAGCTTGAAACCTTATCTTCCACTGAGAAAGCAAAGGAGTAAGAAAAAATATTCATCCCAATGAAACACACCTAGCGTCTGTAGCTCAGTGACTCAGTTCATGTTCAGGTTTTTATGTTGGTGCGTGTTTTTAACGCTGCTCCTACCTTATACTGTTAAAAACTTTTCTTTAGAACAGTATTTTTTAGTAATATCCTTTTCCATTATTCGAAGTTGCCTTTTCTCTCATTAATGGATAAGATTTCAACCTAAAACGATGCCTAATTCTGAAGACTAAAATCCCTCACTCGTTTATGAAGTACCTTCAAGTACGAGCCAACTTGCCTTGTAACCGGAAGGTCCTTGGTTCGAACCTCACTGAGGGGGGTGCGTACTGCCGATGATTCCCAAACTAAAGGGGTGAAACAGCTGTCCAGTACTCCCTGTGGCTGGTTTTCAATGCTTCTCTAAGTTACCTAATATGTCAGTCAGTCTGCATCTTACGCATTTCCTATCCTTATTACGTAACTCCTTTACCATTGTATGCATACATCTATTTTGTTTAAACTTGAAGTGGCTGTGTAAAAACTATATAAGTGTAATTTTCTGAGCGCTGTTCACTAATTGTGGAACCTTCTGTCAACTGACAACAGGAGAAATTCGCAAGTATGTTAAAACTTTTCTGTACATAAACCTCATAATTTATTTAGGCTGTAAGCAGAAGCTGATGAGAAGCCAACGAAAGAAGCAATGATGGTACCATGCATTATTCTGCACAGACCACACTGTTGTTCTTGCTTTATTCAAATGTGCTCATGGTTTTCACTCTGTGTGTAGGCTAATTGAATTTGTACTTTGATGAAGAGTTGAATATAGTCACAAATGTGTATCAGGAATAATAGTATTGTAGACAATCTATAATGAAACGTAACTGTATATGGCTATTAGGTTCATGAGCTTGAGTCCATGCATTAAACAAATTTATTTAATTACACTTAGAAAGGTTACCTATGGTACATGGTCATACATGGTCATTGAAAGTAGAAGATGTTATGAAAAGGCTTGCTGTATTTGACCACATGTTTGATTTTTATCTCCTGTGTTAAACCGTATAATTTGCTGGGTAATGTTTAAGTTAGCCGTTGAGTGTTAGGTAAGTCAGTTGACGAGGTTGTGATCGCTAGAACATGTGTTGCACCTACCGAACCATCGCCTTCTTCGATGAGTAATGTTAGTCGACACAGCATATTAGGCTGGAAAAGAGTTAGGGGTGGTCGTCAATCTAAAACCTGACAATTAGTCCATAACATCTCCATCAGTTTTTTTTGAGCCATGTAGGGAGGTGTAGGGTGTCTGGTTAATTTTATCGGGATGCTAAGGTCCAATGTCTCGGGATAATTGGATGTTAATCGCGATAGATAGATAGATAGATCGAGTGTATGATAGACAGCTAATCAATATGATGTGACCTTCTTGTCGCGATTATTGGTTAATTTAATGTAACTCACACCACGTGATGTGACCTTGAGTGTTGTTTGTTGTCTGTCACTTGATTTGTGTGTACATGTAATTAACTGTAATTAACCGTTCATTTTGTCCGTTACCTCAATACTGTTCGGTACGTTTTTGTCCTTTTTTGAATGACAGTGGATTTGTATATTTTCTTGGTGTAATTGTATGATTTATTTTATGTTTTAGAAACAGATAAAGTTTAAGTCAAGTGATTCTGTTTTTAACTATAGTTAAGCCGAGACTCTGTGTCGTCAGTATTGAGGAAGGACTAAATCTGTAGGCAAAAATAGTAGTCCTACATTGGATATAGCTCAAACTCAATCAGTCCAAAGGTACTGGACTGTACTGTAATCAATCAGTCAGACATAGAAAGACTAAAGTACTCGACATTGTCAGGAACAATGATTATTAATGTATAATGTTGTGATATAATATAAAAAAGATCCTAATTAAATTGAGTTAGATGTGTTGGTTGGTGTCTAGTAAATATGTCGTCTTTCTGTACAATCCTTTTAGGATTGAAAGCGCTTAATAATAATAATAATAATAATAATAATAACAATAATAGCAGTAATACTGATGTCTTGAAATAATAGAGAAGATCTGCAGCTCAGGCAGATGAGTTTGACATGGTTGTATTCTCTGAGTTGTTTAATTTAAATGGCGAAGTCTTCTCTGTCTTTCTAGTAGACAACATCTTCAGCTCAAGCCTTAATATAAAGTTGAACTTGTTTGAATCTTCCATGATCGATAATACACTGGTACCTTCTGACAACCATTGTTGTGACTGGTAGTCAATTTACATTGATCATTATTTTTATTGACTTGGAAGTTGAACTTTCTTGTCATGTGGTTTATTTTCTATTAGTTGGTAAAATTGAATCTCTAGTGTAATGTATTTGTTAATCGCTGATTCATCTGACTACCAACCAGACTTCTAGAAATTCCCTGTCATTACTTTTGGTATTTCCTGTTCTCATCATTCAATATTGTGAAGACATCGACAGCAAAAGAAGATTAGATCTAGAAAATAAATTGCATGCATGAACTGCGATGGACACTACATCGGTCAAAGTGGACGTCTCCCTCGACCAGGAATCCGAAAACACAATAAATTAACTGTAAAAAGACACGACATGTATTCCTGTTTCATATCGATGCGTGTGTGTAGACAATCAAGGACACCAATTCTGTTGGGATAATGTAGAAATTTTAAATAGAGGAAACACCAAAATTTCAGTCAAGGAATTCCTAGAAGCCTGGTGCTCAAGTGAATTAATTAGCAATTAACAAACACATGACTGGTTACAGGATTTCATCATGAGCTGACATTGGTTACAGAAGCATTGGAAAACTTGCAGGGTGTGCTGGACAGCTGTTTCGTAAGCTTAGTTTGGGACTCTTAATCAGTACGCACCCACCGCCAGGGTTCGAACCCAGGACCTTACAAGGCGAGCTCGTATGCCATTAACTCACTTGGGACCGATCCAATGGCTAGCCCATGAATTCTAACTTCTGCCAATTCATGACATAGCGCGACCGCTAGCCAATGTCTTCGGCGAGTATCTGTCCTCACACCCGACCTGCTGCGCCCTACTTGTCACGACTTCTGACTAGAACCCAGGTAACTACCAATCAATCAGATCCCTACAAACCAATAGTTGAATATTAAACACATGACTATGGAGCGAATTTACTAGCCAAAAAAAGTAAATCAAATGACAAGAATGTTCGAATTCCAAGTCAATAAAAAGTCGATGACCAATAAAGATGCAATTTTAACAACCAATCACAACAATGGTTGTCAGGAGTTAGAATTATATCATCCTTCAAGTGGAGAATTCAAATAAGTCCACTTTATATTAAGGCTTGAGCCGAAGATCTTGTCTAGAAGGACAATGGAAACTTCGCCATTACATCAAACAACTGAAAGAACACAACCAAGTCAAAGTACTGCTACCCGTTGATTTGAAAGTGTACCTTTCAAAAACTGGTTTTCAATAACTGTCTAGGCATCACGTTTAAAATATCATTAAATGCTGGCTGTATTGATAAAACTGATTTTTCCAAAGTAAAAGTCTAGTGCTCGGTCGGTATATCTGTGTAGCTGGATGAGCTCGCCTTGTAACATCTCAAGGTTTTGGGTTCCATCTCTTGTGAGATGGTCGTTGGCGGGCGTTGCTACGAAGACTCCTGAACTAGGATGATATGCATGAGCTGTCTAGTGTCCCCCACCCCACCCCACCCCCTGGTTTACGATGGATCCATATTTCGATTATCTTTTGAATACATAGGGTGGAAGAAAATTTTCTTTTCGACGAAGCCATCAACTAGGCCGTACATTCTTGTATTTGTAATAAATGGGTGGGAAAGTTCCACAATTATCATTAAAGAACAAGCATCTCTTTTTGTTTTTGGTTATCAACTTTATATGCCTTTTCTTTCCTCTTTCTTTTCAATAAAAGATGTCAAAAACTGATTCACAACATTTGCCACATGGTGAATTTGTTCCACACGATCCGGCGAAAAATGACTTGACTGTATTTGTCAGTAATCTGGATTATTCAACGACTGAAGATCAGTTGCGAAAGACATTTGAAAAGGTGAGTGCTTTTATTGATTTTATTTATTGATTTTTTTAATAGGCATCAGTCTTGTAGTCATGAGTAGTGTAAGAATGTCATTGTAAATTCAAATGTAGAATGATGTTCATGTTGAGGCAGCTGGTCCATATCGACTCACTGTTTAAGCCTAAAGAGTGAAGTGGTTGAAAATGTTGATAAGTTTTACTATCAAGGAAGAAATAGTGAATATTACTGTATAACACCCTGAAAGTTTATCAGTGAAATTATACTCTACCTCCACAGTGCACAAGTACTATTCTTATATATTAACAGAGTAATTTAACCAGGTTCTATGCAATGTAATTATTTCAGTCTTCTAAGCCTAATCTTTCCTGAACCTAACCGCTAACGTGAAAATATCTCTATACTAACTGTAATCTAACTCGAACCAACCTTAATGTTGCCTTTATTAGGTTAACCTAACCCCAATTTGTCCTTGGCTTGCTCAGTGTTGGCGTTTCAAGGTCATTGGTGCAGTCGCGCACTGAATTGGTAGATTGTGGTGCTGAAAGTTTAACTCGGCCTGGATATCAATTAAAGATTCATTTAAAACCAGCAGCGTGTACTTGACAGCTGTCTCATCCCAGTCTGGGACTCATCGTCAGTTTGCACCTACCGGAGGACACTTAGTTGCCTGTAGTTCTTCTAGTGAGAAGTTGTGACCAGTAGTGGGTGATGGATGGCACTGAAATCACGAATTGGTAAAAATTAGAATTCATTGCATTGGGTGACTACTAAATTGGGTCCCAGTGGCTGAGTAATAGTCTAAGACGTTGAGTTGTAAACGGAGGATCCTGAACTCGAATCTTGGTGGTGAGCTGGCGCTGATGATGAGTCGTGAACTTGCACGAAACAGCTGGCCGGTTTTCAATGGTTCTCCAGCTATTATTATAAATCTGTGACCAAGCTTGAAACTGATTAATTGTCAAACCTTTTATTACTGCCAGTCATTTTGGTGGGTAACACAGCTATAGGAAAGCTGTAAAATGATATCATCTCATAATACTATTTGTCATCTGAATGCCTTATTCAAGTTTAATTTGTGTTGCCTTTTTCTTTGCAACACAGTACTAATTAAATCAATTTTGTTTTACAAGAGTGTTTTTTCTTTACTTTTTTGCGTTCCAAATGATGAAACATTGGGCTTCAAGGTCTTACAGTTTCAGTAGATGTTCTTTTCTGTCGGTTTGTAAACTGGAAGATATTTCAAAGTGTGTCCGTCGGGCGAGAATCAAACCTGAATCTCCTGTGTGATCATCGCGAAGCATTGTATCACTGTCAACTATCAACGCTAAGTGTATACCCTTCTGTAAATCTCTTATAACTGAGAATAATATCAGTACTAAGATTCAGATTTATCGGTAACTGTTGAATCTCTCTCGTATGGCTGGAACGATAGTCGAGTGAAATAAGCAACTAGACTGACTTACGGAATACGATAGTTCCCTTATTATTAAGTTAGTTTCAGCGATGAAGGTCGGACTTTAGGTTGGTTCAACATTGGTAGAATGCTTACTGACCCACTCGAGTGGTCCGTGATTCTATCTCCGACCGATGCATTCACAAACATCGCTTAACCAGTGGTAATTCCGGAGAAGAGGGAAAGTTGGCTGTAAAAACTTCTACCGAAACTTAAAAGCTGAAGCTTGAATACTACGTATGTTCGACTCAGAACGCAAAGGATTAAAAAGCATCTGGTTATATAGAGTTCAAGATTAGGTCAATGGTTTTCGAATCCTATTTTCAAAAAATCTTCTGTCTCAACACAGCTGGCAACTTGATGAATTGCCCATCCTGTTTAATTAAAGTTGGGTTTTATAAAGTCTATAAACTTGTAAATCCATCTCTGTGTATTATTTTACTTTATTTTTGCTTTTGTTTGATAATATTCAGTGTGGTGAATTAACCTCTGTTCGCCTTGTTCGTGATTATGCTGGTCGATCTAAAGGATTCGCTTATATTGAATTCAAACATAAAGATTCGGTAACCGCCGCGCTCGCATTAGATAGACAACCAGTTGTAAGTGATGAATGCTTCGAGAATAATGCTTCATCAAATCTTGACAATAATTTACAAGATGAAGAAGATCAAGGAACAACAACAACGACGACGAAGACGGTGGCAGAATCTTCGAAATCATCGACACCCTCTAAACGACCAATGTTTGTATCGATCTGTGATCCAAGTAAAGTGAAAGCCTCTGGATTCAAGTATACAGTTGGTAAAAAAGAACCAGGAATATTGTTTCTACGAAATTTAGATAAAAATGTAAAAAGTGGAGATTTAGTGAGATTATTTAGAGAGGTTAGTTGGTTAGTTTCTATGTATCTTCGTTTTTGCATTAATCCAATATCTTTCTTTTTTGACTGGTAGGTAATACAAAAAACTACTCTGATCGCTAATCACAGCGTCAACTGCTAGCACACGAAGATACAAGAAGGCTGTTTCTTTGTCTCAGACCACAGTTGTGAAGGATACTGAATAATTTAGGTTCCACTGATAAGTCCAAAGAATTAGTCGAATCAGTGAGAGCCCAGCCTGTCTGTTTTCGACATAGAACTTTGCACCGATGTGCGGCAGTTCAAATCGCCACACTCCCTCCTTGTAGCACACAAAGCAAGAGAAGAAGAAAGTAGGAGAAATGCATATTAGAGAGAGACAGTAAACAGAGGTGTGAGACAAAGGAATAGTAATAACGAAGAACAAAACAGTTTCATTGGAAATCATAAGTCACAAGGAGTGGATGCATCTGCGTCATTCATTGAGAACGATTTTGAGCCATGTCACCAATTGTTTCCAGCCTTCATTGGTTTTTACCGTCTCGAGGACCCCAACCAGTTAGGAAGTCTGCACCTTCCTACGTGGCTTAGACTAACTGTTGTAGATTTCATTGACTGGTGCCATGTTTTCGTCTGATCACCGCTATCTCTTTTCCAGTGAGAGAGTGAGAGCCCAGTCTTCACAAGGAGTGACTTTTACAAACAAGAAATGCCACACAAGGATGTAAACATTTCGTTAAGGCAAGTAAAATGATTACAGCTTTGATCATGAGCTGATATCACTGAAAAATCAAGTGGTACTGGATAATTGTTTCGTCCTATTCTGGGGTTCTTGAGTGGTACAACCCACCGGCCAGTGTTGGAACTGAGGACCTTCCGATTACAAAGCTAGGTGGTAGACCATTCAGCCACCGGGACCACCTGGTTGAATGGCTCATGAATTCCAGATTCTGCCGATTCACGGGATGCATAAAGTGGGACAGCCGCTGAATGCCGATAGCGAGTGACTGTTCTCAAATACCTGCAAACCATTACTTAGTAATTAGAGTGATTCTCATTAGTGACTGACTCTGTACAGGAAGTTACTTGGATTTCTAGTGGGAAAACGTGACCAGCCGGGTCCACCAAGCGAGGCAAGACAACAGTTACTTTCCTGCGATAGTAGCTGGCGGTTACATTAAATACAGTATGATGAATTGGTGGAAGTTGGAATTTATGGCCTGGCTATTGATTGGGTGAGGTCTCATTGGCGGCGGTATGGTCTACGAGCCCACCTTGTAACTGGAAAGTTCAGCGTTCGAATCCCGGTAGGTGTATACTGATGAAGAGTCACAACAACTATCCAGTACTCCCTGATTTGCCACTGGTTCCGTAAGTAGTGATATCAGCTTGTGATGTAACTTGTTGTCAATAGACACCCTGGAAACCGACATTTGATCGAAATTGAGACCACATTATGGATGGTATTCCAATTGTAATCAGTGGATATCTGGCTTCTGAAATGATGTTCTGTCAACTGTATTGCAAGACTCATATGGCTGTATATTTCCACTTTCACTCAAATAGTCGTCATGATGGTTTGTTTAGGGTTTACTGTATGAAAGAAAGATACATAACTGAAAATTACTGTGACTGTTTCTTTGAGTTACCTTCATGACAATACCATTGGTGTTGATTGATGGAAAAGGAAATTCAGGTGTCTTAGTTCGTGCTGAGATTATTATTGTATAGCTTTTGTTCATGCGGTTATTGTTGACGTGATGCAGTAATGATTGATCTTTTAACACCCGAAAACCTCCGTGGTCACTGGATTCATTATCTTGAAGTTATCTGTTTCGCGTTGGATAACAGTACAATCCAGAACACGCATTTCATTTCCATTTGGGACTTGTCACAATATAGGTAATGCTGTTCCCGCTGAGAATCGAATCCAGTACCCATCGCTTCAAAATGGGATTGATTCCTTTTAGCCAGATATACCAAGAGTTAACTCTCGTCGTTAAGTTGACAACATTTTGGCGTTTGAAACGACGAGTAGTGGGCTGGTGTATCGGTAGTAAGACTACTGTTACTCGCTGTGGTGGATCTAGGAACATCCAGATGACGAGTCCTAAACATGATGAAATACGCCTCATGGATTTCAGTGCTAACCATTTTATCGACCAGAAAACATGGGGATTCATTACTCAGTTGTTCATGATTTGTCACTCTTGAATAACTGGATATGTGTCATGAAAGAACTTTTATGCATTTGTCACATTATTGAGCTTGTGAATTGAGGCTTCTTTTGTTCGTGTATTTTTTGTCAACCCACCATTTACTCATGATTCATTTCTACTTATTTTGGTATCGTTTATTTTTCTTTCAGTATGGACTTGTAAGTATTTGTGTGGTCACCTGTCCAAATGGTGTGCCTACAGGTGATGCGTTTATTGAATTTAAAAGTGCTGATGATGCCAGTCGAGCGTTGATTGCTATCGATGGTTTACAGTTTGGTAGTAAAGTGCTGTCAGTAGCTATTAGTGAACCACCTGTCCGCCAGGATGCATCTCAAAGCTTTAAACCGCCTACAATGAAAAGCAATGAAACATTTAAAACACCGCAATCAGATTTTACTGGTGAATCTTCAGCGTAGGTTTCAACCTTTTTCTTAAAAAACAATGTTTGTTATGATGTTTTGGTTTTTCTTACAATGGGATTCAATTATGTGGAAAAAAACACCCGTTGTTTTGTAAACCAAGTAGGGAAGTGTAGACAGTCTGGATTAGTTGAGGTCTCCGAGACACTAAGAACCAATTATTATTATTATTGTTCCCTTGGGTTCCTAGTGGAACACAGGGCTTCAACTGCACGCCTCCACTTGTTTCTGTATTCTGCTGTACTTTTCACCTGCATCAATGTTATTTAATACTGTTTCAACTCCTCTTCACACGATCTCCTCCATGTCACCCTTGGACGACCTACTCGCCACTTCCCTTTCGGGTTCCACTCGAGCACTGGCCTGACGCTCGATGTCACCCAGCGGCCTCCTCAGCGAGTGTCCAATCCATCTCCACTTTCTCCTTCATATTTGTTGAGCAATTGGTTCTTGTTTTGTTGGTTCCCATAGTTTCTTGTTGGTGATTATTTCCGGTGGCCATCTGATCTTGAGTATAGAGCGAAGACAGTTAGTTGTTGATAAAGGTCTGCAACAGGCTGTTGGAAATATTCTTTGTGACCCACTGGCCAAGATTCTGATCCGTATAGAAGAACTGACTGACTTGACGTTTGTATTGAAAATCCGAATCAGTTTGTTGTTGATGCAGGCTGAGTGACGAAGATTTCCAGATTGGTTTCAGTTTGACGAATGTGTTCCTCGCCTTCCCGATTCTCGATTTGACATCCCCGTCCGTTCTGACTGCCTGTAGTTGAGATAATGCTCCCTAGATAAGTGAGTGAATGAAGTAACCTCTTTCAAATCCCTCCCGTTGATGGTGATTGGCGGTGGATGTTGCTGCTGTTGCTGTTGTCGCTGGAGACTATTTTGTGATGTGGTTCATAATTGTTCTAAATGATGCAGATGCATCCACCTTTTATAGTCTAACAGATTCACTTAATTCTCATTATTCTCCGTGTATTAGTTATTATTATTATAATTATTATGGGCATCCAGAGATGTGCGAGAACTGCGATACTGCCCGGATCCCCCAGATTGAAGCTGGCGATAAGGGACGGACGCCTCTTAGCCTTTGACTTTAAGTTTGATCCACAAGGTGGACGTGGATCTGCGTCCCCGTGGTTGCTAGTGACTAAAACAGCGTCACTCTTCATTCAATTCGTCCGAATTCTGGAGCCCATGTATACCATAAATTTGGAATTAGGGTTTTGCAGCTCTCTTAGATGAACCAACCTGTGCACCACCAATTCAGTTGTAAGCGCTTGACGATGTCACTCGCTGTTTCGCTTTTGTGAGGAATATCCCAGCTGTGTCGTGTAGGCAGTCAATAGGACTCACCTGGTAGGTGGAGAGTATGGACGCTTCGCCACATGACAGCATTTCGTTTATGTAGGGCGAAGCCCTTTAATTATTCTTCCATACGCTTCCACTCACAATGTTTCTCTTACATGCTATAGGCAATGTGGTATATTATAATTTTGATCACGGACTGATATCAGTGTACAATTTTGACATACTTTTGTCGATTAACATGCAGGTTGTAAGAGCATCTTAGTGGAATAAAACATCAGGATATATATATATATCTTGTTGGAGAGAAG